AATGGTAGTTCCTGATGCTGTGGACTCCAAGAGAATGGACTCTGTGGTCAAGTAAGTCTGGGGAATGCCACAGGGAATGTTGACATGTTAAATGTCCTGAGAAGCTTTGATGAAAGGAAAACCTTACTGATATTGTTTAAACTACCCAACATTATTTGTTCATAGACCACTCCCCCCCTTTTATTGTTATTGCCACAAAACTCAGTGGTTACATGGTACCCATATGAGGAAGCTTTTCTTTAGGGTCTTGGTGATGGATAATTAATGTGATAAATGGATACATGTTTGATATCAATGGTTGTGAAAGGATAATTAACCTTCCGCTGTTAAATATGCATATTTTACTAGAGAATTAGATGAGAGAATCCAAAAGAAAGTTCAGGGTGGAAATTTCATTACTATGGATGACAAGTGGGGATAAACTTTTGAGCAGCATAGTCTTTATCAATGGTTGTGAAAGGATAATTAACCTTCCGCTGTTAAATATGCATATTTTACTAGAGAATTAGATGAGAGAATCCAAAAGAAAGTTCGGGGTGGAAATTTCATTACTATGGATGACAAGTGGGGATAAACTTTTGAGCAGCATAGTCTTTTAGACCTCTCAAATCATGCCACCCAAGTGGATAATGGCTACTCAATATCCATATCAATTTTAGATCCACAGCTAAATTGCCATATCCTTTTTACTAGGGCTATTACTGTGTTTCGACCCCAGAACTTCAATCAATTTTTCATCCAGCCTGAGGAGTGGAAAGGAGGAGCTCAGCACCATGATAACATCTTGTGTGCTGCATTTTTACCTCCGCAAACTCTAGTTACAGGTGAATAGAATCTTCACTGAACAATCAGTGGTTACAGTTTGGTTTTGATTCACTCACTTTAAAAATAAAGCCTTTTCTCAGCTGAAAACTGAATAGAGATCTTGAAAAAGCAGCCCTTTCACTTAAAGTTTTTCTTGTTCCTTATTCCTTGGGCAATACATTAGTGGTTATGGCCATCAGCTCCTAGACTTGGCGCTCTCTGGCTTCACGTCCTTGTGTCACCACTTGTGGTGTCATGATATTGAGCAAGTTATTTAAACTCTGAATTACAGTTTTCTCTGACTAGTAATCATATACTTTGGTTTATAGTGCATATTATATGTTTAAGTGTTTAACACAATGCTTGGCACACAGTTAGCGCCTAAATGAATATTAGTTTTTGTTTTTATTGTCCATTTTCCAGGAGTAGCATTAGGGCTGTTGGGTATGAGTCACATCTTGATGGCACTCAGATGTTTCATAATGGCAACATATTAGCACTTTGGCATAATTTAGCCCAGATAATGTTGGTTAAAGACGGTCCTTACAAAATGTCAACAAATCGAGCTCTTAAAATGATCCATGGGCATGCTTTGATGTGGCATATTAAAGAGGATAAAAAAATTGTTGTGTCATTCCTGGCCAAAGAAAGCAACTTATAAAGACAGATTGCACCATGAAATTTTGAAGTCCATATTTTGACAGCCTAGATTTTTTTTATAGTACCAAAAGTGTCATCAATTAAGAGGAATGGAAATTTACAGGAAAGGAGCCTGTATATCTAAGAACTGTTACAATATGAGGTTTACTGATCTATCTACATTTAAAGTTACAGTTTTTCAGGACTTACCTGGTTGCCTTCTGGTAGGGCTAACTCTGTAGTTTAATATGCTTTATAGCCACTGGAAATCCACCTCTGCAGGGAGATTCTCATCCTGAAATGTGATGGAGGCAGTGAACTATGAAGCTGTGTGGTTGTTATTGTGAAATGTCATAAAATACCGCTGCATTGGTGGATAGATAATTTCTTCATTCATTCTCATCCCATCGGTCTTATGTGAAAATGTTCGGTTAAGCACTTTGCAGGTAAACATCTCAAAATCATAGGAGAAGATGGATACTCCCATGGACAGCTGAAATCCATCCCCTTTGGCCAATTTGTGAGTTACACAGGTTGTTCGTTCCAGGCAAATAGAGTTTAGTATGATTTTCACTATCCTCTCCCCAAATCCCAAGACAGCTACCACCTGTCCATTCCACCCAACCTTGACTCTTCTCCTCTGCCGTCTGCTTGCACTGACAGTGTTCAGGAGGGAGCTGTCCTCGCTGGGCCATGGAGAGCCAGGTCTGGGCATTGCTGTGTTGCTCCTCCACAGGACAGGCTTGGTCAGACTGATCCTCACTATTTGGGTTTCTCTCTGTTCTCTGCAAAGAGCAGTAGCAAGGGACTTTCTGTAGGGAAAATTTAGGATTGGAGAAAGCAGTATTCAATAAAGAATATAGGAGGAAGAAAGGATGAGAAGACACATAGACACACAAACATGAAGAGACGTGGGGAAGAGAAGCCTAGAAGAACATTATTGGCTTGCACTTAATAATAAAAAGTATGATAATTAACACTTTTTTCAGTACTTATGATATGCTCAGCACTGTCCTAAATACTTTTCATTCTTCACAACAAATACAATTATTAACCTGGTTTTACAGATGAGGAAATCGTGGCATCAAGTAGAATTTAATAATGTGCCCAAGGTTATGCAGCTAAAAACTCAAACTCAAGTTGTTTAACTGCAAAGCCTTTATTCTGAATGCTTTATTACTGTAAAATAAAAGGATATAACAGTAATTTCTACCACATCTACTGCACAGGTTATGCTGTGAGGATTGTAAGCTCGAAAGTTAATAAGAATACTAGTTATTACTTTTCATGTCTTCAAAAATATAGAGAGAGTGCCTACTTTGTGCCAGATTCTGTGTAAGAAATATTGGCAATGACTTCTCTGAGTTTCTGTTGCTCGTATTTTCTATCTAGCCTTTTGATGATTTATGTTCTCATCCTGTTCCATGTAGGGAGTTATAATGGAGAAATTCTTCTGTGGAACAATAGCACAGCAAATGCTCACTGTGTGGTTCAACCTGATTACCAGAGGCCACTAAAATCAAAATCAGGTGAGTGCAAGTTTGAAACTAAAATAACGTGGCTGAGTCGAACCACAGCAGGCCTGGCTCTTAATGCATTACCTGATGCAGCTTGCTCCTAAATTATAGATGATTGTTTGTAAGCACGAAGGATTAGTGATATTGTTGCCTTGTCAAAGTGACTAAAAAGGACCTTGAGATTTACTTGGCTTAGCAAATTCTCCACGTCATGCCATTTCTTCTCTTTATGCTATGTCAGCGTTTCTGAATTACTGACAACAGCGAGCAGGCCTCTCATTTTTATCTAGTTTAGTTTTTGCCAATAAAACTCACCAAATTGCCTTTGAGTGAACCTTGGGTACTCCTTCATAGGAAAATAGGAACTTGTGTTCTCTTGATAAGCTGTTCAGGCTCAGTCTGGAGATTGTATCAAATATTATGCCACCTGGAAATCTTAAATTATTCCTTGCTTTAGAAAATAGGAAAATAGGAACTTGTGTTCTCTTGATAAGCTGTTCAGGCTCAATCTGGAGATTGTATCAAATATTATGCCACCTGGAAATCTTAAATTATTCCTTGCTTTAGAAACCTGTGAGGAGCATGAGATGGAGTAGATTGCATTTTATGGGAGTTTAGCAGAGCACATGAATATTTTATATTAAGCAAAATGTCTTGACAATTGCCTTTCACATTTTATTTTAGTTTCTGTAGAAACTAAAGGTTTTTCCTTCGATTAATTTATTTTGGTAATGAAAATGTCATTTCTCATGGCCCAGTGAGGTTCTGTTGTCTCAATTGGATAAACTTACTAAGGCTGAATTGGGCCTTAGGAAAGAACTGGCCATTAGATGAAGTTGGTTGTGGAAAGCTGAGAAGGTAATATATTAAGAGTAAGTAAACCAATTTAAAAGCTTCAGGAGTTATTTGGCTGCAGACAGAAAGCTCTGACCTGCTTTATGTACAAAGAGCTAACCATTAGGTTTCATATGAAGCTTCCATGCAGAGGGTGCAGTTCTGCCTGTTCCTCTTTATTGGCCTTCAGGCGAGCACCATCTCACTCTTACAGCAATCTAATTGAGGTTACCATTAAATACAAGAGAAAAAAATGAGAAAAAAGTAAATAATATCGTATTTCTAAAAGACACAAATGGCATTGCTATAGATTTCCTGTTTGAAATTTTGAAATTTCCTCTGTATAGATTTTTCATAACAATGTGTAGACTATTCATAGATTCTGAGATGAACATCTCCTGTTTTCATTAATTAGTGTTGTCTGGAGATGATGTCATGAGATAATTGAAGTACCATTAGGAATGTCCCAGCCAGGGTAACTCACTAAAAAATAGTATTGCTAAAAAATGATCATTTAAATATATTTGAATAGTAATTAAACCTCATGTTCATTACAATATTTGCAAGATTAATATTAGTGATTAATAAACTGTAAATGCAATGATATTAGAGTCACATTTGCCTTGAGCATATCAGGATCTTTAAGATGGTAGCAGTGATTATAATATGAAGTCCTTATTAATTCATATCAAGGAAAAACACAGTCAGCACGTAAGGAATATGCAAAACAAAAATGAAATCAAACAGTCCTTCAAGTTCGGGTTGAGGAAGTTAACAGCGGAAGGCTTGATGGCTGTTGACCAGAAGTCTATTGTGAGATTTGATGGAGTCATCCAGGACAGTGATGTGGGTGGGCCTGTGGTTTTTCATAGGCACTAGTTAGATAAGCAGATGTTTCTCTTCATTAAGACACCTGGCTTTGTCTCCATCACAGATACACAACCTCAAAAGCTTCTCAGTGCTGGGAGGAGCTACTTCATCCACCCCAAGGCAGACCAGGCTACCCTGGGAGCCCTCACCTTTGAGACTGACACCAAGGGAAATAATGCTGTTATGAGACTTTGCTTCCTTGAAGCAAGAAAAAATATTGCAGTGACAGGTAAAATATATATTTATATTTTTCTATAGACTGCTTTGATACGATGTTGAAAAAGAGAGAAGTAAAGAAAGTTCAATCTATTTCTATCTAGATGTTGTAGAGTTTGACTGCATGGAGCTAACAAGTTAGTACTGGGTCCGGGGAGACCACAGGCCATGGTAAACAAGGTTGGGATTGAGGAGGATGGGCCAGGAGCAGGAGCCAGACTAGATCCCACGACCAATATATCTAGTGCTGGCTATGTCAAGATCAGGGTGGGAAAAATTCTGGCAAACTATTTGGTATGGGCAACAATTAGAATTGGTGTTCTAGTCGTGTCATAAAGAGATTTTAGAAGGGTAGGGGGCACAGCAAGATATATGGCCCAAATACATGAATCAAAACTTAGGTCCACATATAGCAGAAAAATAGAGTCTGAGAGTGACTGTACAGGCCCCTGTTATCAAAATGAGCTGGGAGAAAATAATGAAGAGTTTGGAGATTGGGGCAATAGCAAAATTTGAAATAACTGCTGACCCCAAGATAAGAGCTGTCTGTTGTCTGCATTGATTATTTTGGTAGTGCCTTGAGTATCTTTACCAGTTGAGCATACTTTCCAGAATAAGTCAGGGTCCTGGTTAGATCTTCTGTTGAAATGTATACTGATACTTGTGCTACTATGTGATTTAATGTAGTTATTTGTTATTTATTTATTTTATTTTATTTTATTTTTTCCTTTTTGTCTTTTTTACTGACCAGTAACGGGATCGCAACCCTCGGTGTTGCGCCCGCACCGTGCTCAGCCAGTGAGCGGGAACCGGTCTCCACATGGGATCCGAACTCTCCAGTGCACCACTGGGCCGGCCCTAGTTATTTGTTATTACATAGATGAAATAACCATTTGCTTAATTTTCTCTCTGTTTCCAATGGTGATAATTAGTGTGACATTGATACAGCTTTCATCTTCCCAAAATAAAAATCTGCTTTTGAGAGTAATACGTATTCTTTGAACTTGAATCTAAAATAAGAATTATATTTTTGAAGTATTTTTTCTTAACATTAAGAATCTAGACACATATGTGTTATATGTTTGAAGAAGGAAATAAATATATCTGAACCATGTTTTCTATATTCACTGTCCCACATTTAATTTGCAAATGCAAAATCTGAATGATACTCATGTAAAAATTTTTATCATTAAGAATCAATGACATTAACAATCAAAGACATACTCCCACAATTTTAGAAACAGTGTGGAATATTTAGAATAGACTTT